TAGTGTCTATGCTTCTTTTCAGTCAGTAAGTCCAATGAGAATGAACCAACTAGGTATTCTTTAAAATTAATCATTTCAAGATTAGCAAACTACAAAGCAACGATGAGTACCTCTATGCTATAGATTCAGAGAGAACTTGTCATAAAATTATTTGTTAGTTGATTTTAAAATTGTCTTGAGAATACAATTAAAATTTTCCAGTACAGGGAATATAAGGCTGAAAGTTTCCTGTAATAAAAGAGTGATAGCATTTTGGAATTTTGAAAAATTGACAGTTAAAAAAACTAACTTTACCTAACTCTTCAATAATGACTGCCAGAAGCATGTGATCACTGTATTAAAATATAATGAAAAGAAAAGAATCTTTTTTTGCTTGATTCCAACTACAAACATGATTTCCACTGCAGCAAAATTCATTTATTCCTACACTTAAACAATAGTGAGGCTGACACAAATGAACGCAATAAAGGCATATACATGGGCCCAAGTTGAACTTACTTCCCAATTAAAAGTAAAGTAAAGGCCCTCCCGTTGATCGTCGATTTGCTCGAGCGGGCCCAGTAACATCTCCATTGGAGACTTTGTTGTTACTGTGTCTGGCATATCGAATACTCTCGGTAGCTTGCCGGGCTCTCCGAGAGGGGCGGAGGAATCGAACTCGGGTCGGCCATGTTGGCCGCTTGTAAGGCAAACGCCCTACCCGCTGTGCTATCACTCCAGCCCGACTTCCCAATTAGGATCTCAAAATACACTTCAACTTTTTTTTTCTTTTTGGGTCATGCCAGCATTGCACAGGGGTTCCTCCTGGCTCATGCATTTATGAATGACTCCTGGCAGTGCTCAAGGGACCATATGGGATGTTGGGTTTCGAACCCAGGTCAGCCGTGTGCAAGGCAAACACCCTACCCACTGTGCTGTTGCTCCAGCCCCAAAATATACTTCAATTTTGAAATGACCATTTTGGTAAATCTCTCTGAAACATTTGTAGAATGCCACTGTTTTCCATATATTAGGAAACAAAAGATTCAAAATCATAAAAACATCCTATGGTTAGGAGATATTACTAAGGAGAGGATTCTTGACATAGAATAAGCAAATTAATTTCAAAGTGTAAAAAAAACAATTTTGTAACATTCTATGAGAGAAATATAATAGAGTGACTGGGAATAGGAGAGACTGCTCAATTTGGAGGTCAGGAAAATAACTCTAAGTAAATCTGAACTTGTTCGAAATCTGGATACAGAACAATCCAAACAGAAGAGACAATAAGTTAGTTGTACATGGAGACAAAGACATACACTAGAGTCAGTGAAGTTGGTTAGACAGCTCATTGTGAGTGAAAAGTCAACTTGAAAGAAATCATTGCTGTAAAATTCAAATAAACCATCCTGTCAATAAAATTGCTACATCAGGATTTCCAGTTGTCTTACCATGGAGTTGTCTAAGATTAATATTGCATAATCAACCCTTCCACTTCTCCACTAGAAACCTAGTTTATCTTGCCACACTAATTAAAATCTGCGGGGTTAATAGATACTAAGGAGCAATATCAAAATTTAGATAATGTTGTGCCACATGTAATAGTTGAAATTGATACTTGATTTTCACAATGTGTGTTTCCTAATTTTAAGGGGAATAAAAAGCCCAGGGTAGTTCCTCTCCTTATGTAATACTAAGCACTTTAGAACTGTGAATGCCTTTTAGAAGCTCTTTTCAGTGGCATTCATAAATATCTACCATAACTAGGCATAGCACCCATTTATACTTTCAGTTACTTCTGCACTTTTGAGGGGACAAAGACAGTAATGGGCTAAGGTGCATGCTTTCCATGCAGCCAATCCCGGTTTGGTCCGTTGGTCCATGTACCACATGGATCCTGTGACTCCCTGTGTAGTCATGGAAGTTGAGCACCTCTGGGATGGCCTGGGCAAATCGCTACACCATGAAGCATCTCATTCTTAGACTCATGTTGAAATGCAGGTCCAGTTGGTGAACAATCACTGTGGGATGGAGACACTGCTTAAGAGACTCCCCTAAAAAAAATTAAAAATTTTTGGCTGAACCTGATAGTGTTCAGGTCTCCCTCCTGGAATCAGTTCTGAATGTGCTTGAGGTACCACATGTGGTGCCAGGATGGAGCTCAGGTCAGGTCAATGCCTTACCCGCTACATGATCCATCCCTCAAAAAAATTTCTTTAATTTATCATAACACCATGATTCACAAAGTTGTTCATAATACAATCGTTTCGGGCCAAGAGTTCTTGAGATTCCAACACCAATCCCAGTACCAGTGTGACTTGCCTTCCACCAATGTCCAAAGTTAATCAAATAAAATTAATTTTAAGCACAAATTTGGGCTTGAAACTCACTATGATTTTTATGCCTGCATGGGAATTATTTATTATTTGGGGACACATTCACAAGTGCTGGGGCTAACTCCTAGCTCTTCACTCAGAAATCACTCCTGGCAGGGCTCAGGGAACCAAACGGGTTGCCAGGAATCAAATCTTGGTCAGTCGCGCAAGGCAAGAGCCTTATCCACTATACTATCTCTCCAGCCTTGAAAATATAGATACTTTTCTTGTGCAAAGTTTTCTGATTAAGTTTCAAATATAGTACACATAAGTTTATTGGGAATGGTTTTTGGGGTGAAACAAAATCTAGTCTTCAAATATGTGCTTATCCCTTTGCTAACCTTAGGAGATAAACTCAAGAATAGAAATAAATAAATTATATGCCTTAGTCTACATAAGACACCAAAAGACTAGAAAAGGGCACTGGTGAGAGTTGATAGGTGAAAATTAAGTGAATGCTAGTAAAGTTATCTTGTGTTTGGTTATATTTTAGACTAGTAGAGCTTACAAGCATGCAAAAGGAAATAAAGTAAAAGGGAGAGGTATGGCTTCAACTTATTAAATTTCAAATCTTTTCCATATAAAATTTTTTGTGTGAAAGTTCAAAAACAGATCATTGCTGTAGTTAGGACCCAAGTAACTCTGAATCTAAAAACGCTAAAGCTTTATTATCTCAGATGAATGCTGAAACATTTCTGTGATGAACCATCATGTAACACAGGATAAAAAACAAGTTGCCTCTTTTCCTTTTCCAATTATATTGGTTAATAGAAGAGTTATAATTAAAGTCACTTATATTTTAATTTTTTGAAGTTACATAACATTATGTTTCAGGTATATATCATAAAAGTTATTTGTAATAAATCAAAAATTATTAGGAGGCAACATATATATAGTCAAGAGTTGACCACTGTTATCACTACACGAGTTTCTGGCAAACTGAACGATCTGGAAAGACACAAGCTTAAGAATTCTCTGACGACTGGTTCTCCTGAGCCAGACCATGCCACATCAAATCATCCAATCCTCCAGAAAACAGAATCAAGAAGACTTCAATAGACACTTTTGGACAGTGGAAAGTGAGGAAAAAGTATAAACTCTGGAGTGAGATCTAGTTTTAAATCCTAAACTTTAGAGATATAAATAGCCACTAAGAATTTTTATAATTCTGAGATATCCTCATCTCTGTAGTCTTTTTATATAGATCACAAACTTTAGTATCTAATTTAGTTGAGAGAATGAAATACCCTAATGCATTCAAAAATTAAGCATACTATTCATGAATATTGAGTGGATAAGGCCTTGCATTTACCCCACCTAGGTTCAATCCCCAGGACCACATTTGGTGCCTTCAGTACTACCAGCTGTGGTCCCTGAGCACAGAGATAGGAGCAAGCCCGCAGCATCACATGGTGTGTCCTCTACCCCATCCTATTCTCCACTAAAAAAGAAAACCCCAAAACAAAAGTTTCCTTTTAAGTTGACTTAAGCCTCAGAAAGGAAACTTAGAACTCTTCCAGTGATTCACTAATCACAGGTCACTCTGAATAGGAAAGAGTAGGGCTATCAAAAATGAACGACTTGTCTTTAGCAGCCTTGAAATATATTGCTCCTGGCTTTCCTTTTCTTTCAAAGAGTCCAGGTGGCTAAGACAAGTCTAGAGAATGGAAGGATATGGCCTTTCTACCTTGCCATAAAAACATACTGCTCTAGGAGCATTGTGTCTGATTGCATTCCCATCTTAGCATGTTAGGAATCTTGGAGATACGGATCTAGCCTGAGAATGGCATATCCTAATCAGATTTTTCTGCTTCCTTGAAAAGTTCTGTGGATTCTCATATTGTTCATCATGTAGAAATTCTCACTTCCGTTCAGACTTAAATTAGAGATCTAAGAGAACTGCAACCATACGAGGAATATTACTGGGTCACTCAGCGCTGTGTAGTGCACAAAACTAACCAGAAGAAAGGCTTCCATCCTACTGGGAATATCTTTGATGTTCAAAGTAAAAACTGGCACATATTTAACTATAGTGGTATGAAATCTTCTCCATTTATAAATTCCAATATTGAATTATACTATTACTCTAACATGAAGAACTTTATTCTCATCCTGCATGATTATAAAATGTGTCATAATTAATGTACTTCAAATTAATAACTATATTATCTTATTTTAAATTGCCTCACAATATTTGTTTTAACAACCTGCAAGTATAACAGTTTTTCACCTTGCTAATTTATTAATGTAGTAGAGGGCTTAAGTATCTAACAAGGCAAAACTGGGACTCTCAAGCATAAAGTCTTTTTTTAATTTTAGAAATCAAAAAAAATCATATATGATAATAACCAGCCAAGTCTCTAATGTGATAGAACCAACCCAAGTTGGTTTTATAAAATTTTAAAATTTTCTCTTTCTTTTACAGTATTAGAAAGTATAATAGCTAGACACGACCTGAGCCTTATGGGCTTCTTATAACACTTCTTTTACTTTTACATAAGTTTGCTTCCTATTAAGAGCAGGAAAGTTTCTATTAAAACCCCAAATGATGGATTGGATTGTCTACTACTTGGTTGCAGTCATTAATTTCAGATACTATCTTGTTTTCAGAAAAACAAAGCTCAGTAGAACAAAGAAGAACAAAGCATGGCAAAATTTGGCTGGGAATATGAAAACAAAACTGGTAGGTGTTCTGTTTCTGTCAATTAAAATAATACTCATTTTTATAGTAAAAGAAGCACTGAACACTTAAAATGATCATTACTTTAATTGTAGGGAAGGTACAGTAAATTTTTACACTAAAAATATAAATATTCACACTATTATGACTGATGTTACTCAGTAATAATTAAAATAAGATCAAAAATAACTGCACACTCATAGGAAAATGATTTGAATTTCCTCAGCTTTATAATTCTCATAACTGTGTATATATTTTAGAATTCTTCCCAATGGAAAGCATGAACTGTATTCATTTCAGTTTGGGGGGGTTTTGATTGTGGACCACACTCAGAAGTGTTCAGGGGTTACTCCCATTTTTGTGCTCAGGGCAGGGGAGAAGCATCACTTTCTGGGGTGCTTGAAGAATCATGGGAAGCAAGAGATGAACCGAAGTCTTCAGCATGCAAAGCATGTGCTCAGCTTAGTCTCTCTTTCTTTTTGTTTTGTTTTTATTTTGTTTTTTTTCCTTTTTGGGTCACAATTGGCTATGCTCAGGGGTTACTCCTGGCTCTGCACTCAGGAACCACCCCTGGCAGTGCTCAGGGGACCATATAGGATACTGGGAATTGAACCCGGGTCGGCCGCGTGCAAGGCAAACGCCCTCCCCGCTGTGCTATTGCTCCAGCCCCTAGTCTCTCTTTCTATATACATATTAATATATAAATTTATTTATGTTTACCTACACACTATGAGTACCTTGTTTCTGTCGATCAATACAGTATTTTATTATACAGTAAAGAAAGGGGCATCCTCAAACATTGAATTGCTACTAAATTGAATAGTATGTGATTAAAACACTGACATAAAACCTAAACTAATAAGAAAAGAGCTGATTATAATCCTACAGTAGTAATTAAGCATTTAATAAAGTTTGATTGCATACATGTTTGTTCTGGTAGGTCCTGAACAATGGAGTAGGTTGTACCCCATTGCAAATGGGAATAACCAATCTCCAATCGATATTAAAACCAGAGACACAAAACATGATCCCTGTCTACGACCTGTATGTCTCTGCTATGATCCAGCCACAGCCAAAGAAATGATCAATGATGGTTACACAGTCCAAATAACGTTTAAAGACAACGATAACCTATCTGGTGAGTTAGAAAACTCTGATATTCTCCTTTCCTCTTGGTTGATGAAATTAAAGCAATGGTAGTTAAGTAACATGTTTATTATAGTGTTAACGTTTATGATCTTCTTATACAGTTAACATACATCACCACTGCTCAAACGCCCAAGACTCTCAACAATGTTCTTTATGTTACATCTAGTTCACCTCTTCATCTCCCTCCCTTGCCCCCATGTGGCCATCTCAAATTTGTGATCTGGTGTACAGCAAACCATAATGCCCAAAAGTAGAGAGAGTACAGGTGAAATTGTCTGCCATAGTGTCAGGGGTAGGGGTGGGATGGGGAGGGGATACTGGGGACATTGGTGGTAGAAAGATGTGCACTGATAGAGGGATGGGTTTTTGATCATTGTATGACTGAAACTCAAAACATGAAATGAAGCTTTGTAAGTGTATCTCCTGATAAGCCTCAGTTCTTCTAGTTCTTCTCAGTGGCACCCCCTGCCTCTTTACCTCACTTCACACTCAGAATATATATTTTTCCAAAATGTTCTGATTAACCATCATATGAATATAAAACTGAATATCTAAATATTTTCTCATTGATATGGAGTAGAAAAGAATTGCGTTTGAAGAGAACGATGGGAAGGAAAAAATTTTTGTCAGGGGGCACACCCAGAAATTTTCAGGAACTATTTCTGGCTTTGTGTTCTTGAAGGAAGTATCTGGTCAATGATAAAGGGGTCAGACCACAGGGGTTCTGGGAATACAACTGGAGTGAGCCTCATGCAAGTCAAGAACCTGGCCCCTAAACTATCTCTCAAGCCCTAAATATGCTTATTTTTATAGCCAAAACATTATCTCTTGAGGTGTGAAATGCTTGGGGTATTGGTAAGAAAATGAGTCTTCCTTAACTCCTGAATGGAACAATTTTGTATATGAGAATGTTTGTCTATCCTCTGTCTTCTAGAATGTGGTGAGTGAATTACCTTCAAACACCCAAATCTGGCGCATTTCCTGTTACATAGTTATGCTTTTTACATATTTATTGAAAAATAATTTTGATGACAAGTCTGAAAGACAGTTCCTCCTGCAAAAAGGCAAAACTTGACTCAGCATATTTTTACAAAACCCTGTGAGACTAATTTAGCCACCTTGTGGTTATGTCCATTGTTAGTATCAAATTAGCCATGTTATTATGCATATTTAGTCATGATTGGGTAGAAAAAACAAGATCACTCAATGTTAAAACTGCAAAAGTGACCCCACTGCTTGTAGGCACTTTCTCTTGGTCCCTGGTCAATGATCCACAATAAGTTAACAAGATATGCTGTTGGAGGGCCAGAAAAACAGTTCAAGTGGTAGAATGCCTCTCCTATGTAAGGCCAAGTTTGATTTCTGATACTTCATGCATTCCCCTCCCCATAGTATCAGCATCCTTTAATAAGGAGTGACATCTGTTAATGATAATTCCCAAATAAATCTGTTGAATCTTGACTGCTTATAAGGTGTATATGATGAGTATTTTATTATGCTAAAGAATGTGACACTTCATGAATAATCTTTGTCAAAAGAATGAATGGGGGAGCTTGCAAATTAAGGTAGATTTGGAGATAGCTCATAATTCTCTACCACATTCATCTTCCAGTATGCTTTCTTTGCAGCAGAAATAGGTAAAATTGTAGCTCATATAGTGAGAATTGTATGTTACATGAACTATTTTATCAATGATTTATCATGGTGCATCATAGCTATGGATACCAAGATGGATGTAAAAAAAGGATAAAAATGATTGACACTAGAGGGGTTTTTAAATTTGTAATCTGCCCATTTTAGTATCCATTTATATTAAGTGCAAAGATAAGCTGAAGCTTGTGCTAACTAGACTCACTGTAGCTCTACTTTTCTTCCAGTGCTTAAAAATGGTCCTGTCTGTGACATCTATAGGCTCCGAGAGCTCCATTTTCATTGGGGAAGTATAGATGACTGTGGTTCTGAGCATAGAGTGGACGGGGTCAATTACTCTGGAGAGGTAATGTAACTTAGCGATAACCATCCTAGGGGTATGTCCAGAAGCAACTCATTTGCTCCATCAGATAGCATCTTAGTGAACATTTTGCTCTATGTAAGGGACCCCAGGTTCATTAATATCAGGCACAAGCTATGTTTAACAATAGAGAAACTCTTTTCTCTAAAAGAGGTAGCTGAACTTGAAACTGAACTTGTAAGCCCAAGACTCATTTTCCCCTTAAGAGTGTCTTCTTGCCTTGGCAAGTCTCATGAAGAGGTGCTACCTTCCTTCAAGGTTCTGATTCCAGATGGTGCACACTATCATTTACTTTTCATTTTAATGTCCAAGTTTGGAAATACCAGTAGCCAAGGCATGGGGACACTGGAACCCATCAATAAAACCCATTAAGACTCTATTTGATTATTGGAATGGCCACAGAGTTGAGAACTGGGTGGGTGACTGAGGCTCCTTGGGCACAGACATCTTGATTTGCCCTTTTTTTTTTTTGCTTTTTTGCTTTTTTGGGGGTCACACCTGGCGATGCACAGGGGTTACTCCTGGCTCTGCTCAGGAATTACCCTGGCGGTGCTCAGGGGACCATATGGGCAGGGGACTATATGGGATACTGGGAATCCAACCCAGCTGCATGCAAGACAAACACCCTAACACCCTACCTGCTGTGCTATTGTTCCAGCCCCTTTATTTGCCTTTATATGGAGATATATGACCTACCTCAAAACACTCTTTATGTATATGCATCCATAGGAAATCCGGGAATATTTGCATCCCATTGTCAAAGGAGAGACTTGGAGCTTGAAAGAGAACTTTAACTCTTAACTTGTATAAATATACAATGCATATATGTGTACCATAAACTCTGGTTGACTATTTTTATTTTCATGAAATAAAATATCTAATACATATAATTGTTCAACTTCCTTCATTTTACTTACAATTTCATTGTGATCATTTTTAAGTTAGTAGTCTAAATCTACTTTGTTTCATTTCTATATAGTATCTCAATTGTATATGTCAGAATGCATTTAGCCAGCCTCTACTGTCGGAAAATGACAATACCTTCAGCCTTTTGTTACACTGGTTTTTTACTTCATTCCTAAGCCAAGGCATAAACCTGGCATTGAAATATTATAGGAAGGACATTCTAGAGAAGAGCAACAATTAAGGCTGAGACCCCAAAATGTGGAATGAATGTGAAGCTATAATCTGGGACATTAGCTTAAAGATGTTGATAAATGGAGGATAATATAAAATGGATAAATGTGCTTTTTGATTGAACCATTAAGTTGGCAGGAAGTACATTATCCTAAGAAAGAAAAATTAAACACATTTGGCAAGTGGGAAATTAAGAGTTCATGTTCAAGGTAACTGAGACACTCATGTGGAGATATCAGAAAAGTATCAAGAGGACATTCATAGGTACGTGGACGTAGAAGTCTAGGGTTCCACAATCATTGAAGTTTGCTCTACTGATTTGAATGGTGCTTGGTTGTGAATAAGATATATTCTCTTCTTGATTAAGACACCAAATATCCTAGGAATGCCTTCTTCTAAGTTACCAAGAAATACCTTGTGATAGAAAACTTATTTTTATGTTTGTTCACAAATGAGTTAGGATTACTGAAATTTTTGATAGACTAAAGATAGTTTTTTAGTTTTATTCCTTGTAATTATTTAGTTACAATTCAGGTAACATGGTCCCAACATTTTAAACAACTATGAAATTTATTTGCAAAGTTGCTGCATCCTACCACAGCCAAAATGCCCAGGAGTCTCTGCCGCTGTCTTTATTCCACGTAGACTTTACCCCTCAACTTCCCTCATTTCCCCTCTTCTGCTCGGTAATCTGAGTTTTATAATCAGGCCAAGGATTTGTCATCCTTTGATACTGACTATTCCCATGTACTCTCTCTATATAACTAACACAAATGAGGTCATCCAGTATTTATTCTTCTCCATTTCACTTAATTTTGTTCAACATGATACACTCCAGTTTGATCCATTTGTACCAAACTGCAAAATTCTCCTCTTCTCTTACAGTTGAGCAGTACTACATTGTGTGTGTGTGTGTGTGTGTGTGTGTGTGTGTGTGTGTGTGTGTATCACTGTCACTGTCACTGTCCTCCCGTTGTTCATCGATTTGCTCGAGCGGGCCCAGTAACATCTCCATCATGAGACTTGTTGTAACTGTGTTTGGCATATCGAATATGTCACGGGTAGTTTTCCAGGCTCTGCCGTGCGGGCAAGATACTCTCGGTAGCTTGCCGGGCTCTCCAAGAGGGGTGGAGGAATTGAACCCGGCTCGGTCAGGCTGGCTGTGTGCAAGGCAAACGCCCTACCACTGTGCTATCGCTGTGTGTATATATATATATTTATATATATATATATCACAACTTCCTTGTGTGTGTAAATATGTATTCATGTACATATGAACTTTTCCCTGCATTCACACATACCATAATATATTGCCGATAATACCTAAAATTGTCATTTCTTTCAACATAGCTAATGCTGATGTTTACCACTTTTCACATTTTTTACCATTCTAATCTGACTGAAAAGATCTTTATTTTCTCTTAGTACCTTTGTTTATTTAGGCTTTTGGACCACACCCAGTGGTGCTCAGGTCTTACTCCTGGCTCTGTGCTCAGTGATCACCCCTGGAGCACACATGCACTGCCAGTGATAGAACCTGGGTCAACTGCATGTAAGTCAAGCACCTTAAACCCTGCACTCTATCCAGTGAGTAGTCTCTTCAATCACTTTTAGCTCTTTTTGTTTCTAATCCATATTTTTAGTTGAGGAATCATCATTAAAAATAATATTGAAAACCATCTTCTTATACTTGCGATGCTAATATCTGCTTATCCTTTCCCCAATATTTCACAATCCCTCTGCCACTATCTTCTGGTCCCTTCTTTTATTTCTCCTTAACCTTTTCAGTTATCATTTGTTACTTTATACTCTGTATATGAGCAAAAACATCCATTTCTGATTCATTTCTCTTAGCATGGCACCCTCCTGCTCCACCTAAATTACAGCTGCAAATTTAAAACTGCAAAGCTTTATTTATTATTACTGAATAGTTTTCCAGGCATCTATTTTATATATATGTTTCACAATAGTATTCCATGTGCACATATATCACAATTTTATTATCCACTCACTTACTGTTGGACACTTAGGTGGTTTTTAGATTTTAATTATCATAAATAATGCTGGAAAGAACATAAGTACCCAAACTAATGTTTTTGTTTTCTTGGAGAAGATGCCCATAAATGGGATTTTCAAGGTCATAAGGGAATTCCTTTCATACTGTTTTGAGAAATCTCTGACCTTATATTTTCTGAAAACCTATATTTAGGAAAAACTTATATTTTGAAAAACTTTATTTTCCAAAGAGGCTGAACTACACAACTTCTTTATCTGTTCATTTGACATTGGATTTTTTGGAATTGTTTCCGTATCTTTTTTTGTTACTTTCCAAGAATTTATAATTATAATTTTTTAAAAAAATTTTATTAGTGAATCACCGTGAGGTACAGTTGCAGGCTTACAAACTTCCGTGCTTGCGTTTCATACAATGATCAAGTACCCATCTCTCACCACCAATAGTCCCAGCATCCCTTCCACCACCCCCACCCCGTCCCCTCCACCCTGCCCTGCCTCTGTTGCAGGGCATTCCCTTTTGCTCTCTCTCTCTCTTTTGGGTGTTTTGGTTTGCAATAGAGGTATTAATTTGGCCATCATGTTTGGTCTATAGTCTACTTTCAGCCCACATCTCCCATCCTGAGGGGGTCTTCGTAGCACCCTTTACTTGGTGGTCCCTTCTCTATCTGAGCTGCCTTTCCCCCCAGCATATGAAACCGGCTTCTAAGCTGTGGAGTGATCCTTCTGGTACTTTTCTCTACTATTCTTGGGTGTTAGTGTCCCATTCTGTTACTTTATATTCCACAAATGAGTGCAATCTTTCTATCTCTATCTCTCTTTCTGACTCATTTCACTTAACATGATACTACCCATGTTAATCCACCTATATGAAAATTCCATGACTTCATCTTTTCTAACAGCTAAATAGTATTCAATTGGGTAAATGTACCAAAGTTTCTTTAACCAGTCATCTGTTCTCGGGCACTCAGGTTTTTTCCAGATTTTGGTTATTTGTAAACAGTGCTGCAATGAACTTTTAAGTGCAGATGTCATTTCTACTATGCTTCTTGCCTCTCTGAGATATATTCCCAGAAGTGGTATTGCTGGGTCAAATGGGAGCTCAATTTCTAATTTTTTTGAGAAGCGTCCATACCGTTTTTCAAAAGGGCTAAAGCAGTCGGCATTCCCACCAGCAGTGAAGAAGAGTCCCTTTCTCCCCACATCCCTGCCAATACTGGTTGCTTTTGTTTTTCTGGATGTGGACCAATCTCCGTGGTGTGAGATGATATCTCATTGTGGTTTTGATCTGCACCTTCCTGATGATTAGTGATGATGAGCATTTTTTCATGTGCCTTTTGGCCATTCAGATTTCTTCTTTGAGAAAGTTCCTGTTCATTTCATTGCCCCATTTTTTGATGGGGTTGGATGTTTTCTTCTTGTGGAGTTCAACCAGTGTGTTTCCATATCTTTGCTAGTGTACTAAGTGCAACAAAGAACTCAGAAATACATTAATGCATTTATCTTTTCCAATTAACGTTTTTATGATTGGGGCTAGATACCAAGAAATGGAATTGCTGAGGGCTCTAATCTTATTTTTTGAAGAATCTCTATACTGTTTCCCATTAAGAATTAATTTACAATATTCGAATCAACAGTGAATGAGGATTATTTTTCATCGCATCCCCACCAACACTAATTGCTTGCAGTCTTTTTGGTAGATTCCATTCTCGTTGGTGTGAGATTATAACTCATTGTTGTTTTGATTTGTATTTCCTTCTTAGTAAGTGACATGAACAGTTTTTCATACACCTATTGGCCATCTGTACATATTATTTGGGGAAATGTCTATTCTTCTCCTCTTCCCATTTTATGATGGAATTACTGATTTTTTTGTTATTATTGCTTGAGTGCTTTATCTCTCCGGGCTATTATATTATCTGATATTTTACATGCAAATATTTTCACCCATTTAGTAGGGTGATAATTTATTCTAGCCCATTTATTTTGCCATGTAAAACCTTGTTAATTTGTGGCCAGAGTTATAGTACAGTGAGTAGTACAGCCATTATGCCTTGCACATGACTGACCAGGGTTTAATCTGGCACCACATATGCTCCCCGAGACCTACCAGATGTGATCTCTGAGGGCAGAGTCAGGACTAAGCCCTGAGCATGACCAGGTGTGGCCCTCCAACAATAAAAGGTAAAAGGCCCTCCCGTTGATCGTCGATTTGCTCTAGTGGGCCCAGTAACGTCTCCATTGGAGACTTTGTTGTTACTGTGTCTGGCATATCGAATACTCTCGGTAGCTTGCCGGGCTCTCCGAGAGGGGCGGAGGAATCGAACTCGGGTGGGCCATGTTGGCCGCTTGTAAGGCGAACGCCCTACCCGCTGTGCTATCGCTCCATTTGTTTATTTTATTAACTTTGCCAATATTCTGGAGGCTTCTGCCTAATTTTCCTCCAATGTATTTTATGAATGGATTTTGATCTAATTTCAAAGTCTTTAATCTACTCTGAATTAACCTTTGTGAATGCTGTGAGATATGGATCCAGTGCCCTGTTCTTGCACACTATTCAGTTTTTCCAGCACCTTTTGTTGAAGAGGCATTCCTAGCTCCAATTCATACTCTCAGCTCCTTTGCCATATTCTGATTGTCCATAAATCTGAGGATTTATGTCTGAACTCTCAGTTCAGCTCCACTAGTCTGTTTTTTCATCCCAGTGTCATACAATCTTGATTACTAAAATCAGGAGATGCAACGCCCTCCCATCTTCCTTTTCCTCAATATAATTTTGGCTAGTTAGGGCATTCTATGATTCCATACAAATTTTACTAGACTTTTCTCTGAGTTCTTAAAGAATTTCATTAGAATTTTTATGTGAAAAAGTATAATTGTTAAGGGAATAACATTGAATGGTTACGATATTATGGGTAGAAAAATTACTGGTTCCAAGATTTATTACCTGTTCACACAGATAAAAGTTCACACAGATAAAAGTACACAGATAACCCTTGTTTATCGTGAAAACATAGCCATTTCCTGTCCTCTGTATAACAGCTTTATTTATTTAAGCTAAAACACGTACTCTTATTTTAACAAATTAGTTTGTACTTTACTTTAGTCTTCATTTTCATATAAATAATTTATCACATTTTCCTTTTTAGCTTCACATAGTTCATTGGAATTCTGAAAAGTACTCTAGCTTTACTGAAGCTTCCTTGCAGGCTGATGGTTTAGTAATTTTATCAGTTTTCATGAAGGTGAGTTATAGAGTTCTAGTAAATTACTTTCTTATCCTTCAAAACACAAAATAGGATGAAGTAAAGCAAAATGATGCTTGAGTCTTAATATTATGAACATTTCATTCTATGAATAATTAAAGGTAAACAAATAGTTCCTGAGTAACTTGTTGCCTTAATCTTTTCTTAATTGCACTCTTTAAGAGAGAGGTAAGTTTCTGGTAGTGATAGAACAGAAAGGTTTTAGAGATGAGAAAGAATTTCTCATTTCTCAGCTCACTCAAATTCACTTTCCTCTAAACTACTTCCTTATAGATTCAAGAACTTATTGATGAATCAGGAAAGAAATAACTAAGTTGATATTGATTACCTAAAGATTAATTGCCATTTGAAATAGAAGGTGTTGCCTAAATCCTCTATAGGATTATAGAACTATAAAGTTCTTTAGGTAAATAATTGTTACACTGTCAATTATAATCTTTACTTGAGTAATGTTGGTTAGCCTCTATTGAGCATCTGAAACATGCCAAAAATTGCGTTAATTATATCTAATAGAGTTTGTTTTTGAAGTTTGTAAATGAAGTTTGTAAATGTAAATGTAAATGTAAATGTAAATGTAAAAAGAGTTTGTAAATGAAGTTTGTTTTTGTAGCACAGCTGTGTTAAATTCCTGATGTTGCCACATATTTTTGAACATATAGATAATATTAAATTACAAATAATATTTTTGTTGCCACATTTTTTGGATTATGCTTTAATAATAATCTGAAGACTACAAAAGTCCACAAAGATATATAGATGGCAAAATCTTCTTGTCTTAAAATAGAGATAAAAATACTTAATATTTTCCTTTTATTTATTTATTTGGCTTTTTGGTGACACCCAGTGTTTCTCAGTTGGGTTACTCCTGGCTCTGAGCTGAGAAATTACTCCTGGCTGTACTTTGAGGACTCTATGGGATGTCAGGCATCCCATAGAGTAAATGACCTACCCGCTGTACTATCCCTCCGACCCACTTCACCTCTCGGTTTTTAACTGAAAAATAAAAAAGTTAGCTAATTTTCGATGAACTTGTTAATAACTTCTAAGAGAGCAATTTCTTTCTTCCTTTCTTTCTTTCTTTCTTTCTTTCATTCTTTCTTTCTTTTTTAATTTCCAGGTTGGTCAGGAAAACCCTAATCTTCGGAGGATAATTGAAACCCTACACGCAGTTAAAACGAAGGCAAGTTGACCAAATAATACATTTTAAATTACAGATCAAGAATTCACAGAAATGAGGAAATCAACTCAATAATGATTTGTAAAATGAAGTAGGAAAACCAAAGCAAAAACTACTGAAAGTAAAAGCTATTCTGAAAATCAAGGTGGTACTTAATTACCTCTTATTTCTGAAAACATCTCTTGCTCAAAATTGTTTTTCAGTTTTTCATAAATCACTGTATCACTGTCATCCTGTTGTTCATCGATTGCCTCAAGTAGGCACCAGTAACGTCTCCTTCATCCTAGCCCTGAGATTTTAGAAAGAAACATTCAAGTTTCTTTCAGGGTCAGGAGAATGAGACCCATCATTGTTACTGGTTTTTGGCATATTTTCATAAATATTACTAATCTATTTTAGCATGAAGAAGACTAGGATAACAGCTTGCATGGTCATTCAAATTTGCTTTCAAGATCTGGAGGGATAGTACAGCCAGTAGGGCTCTTACCTTACACAGATCCCAACCTGATTCCAACCCAGTTCCATTCCCAACACAGCATCTGGTCCTCTGAATCCTGTCAGGAATGCCCCTTGAGCACAGCCAGGGGTGGTTCAAAAGAGAGAGATAACATTTATGGCTGAAAAGAAAGGATAACAGGTAGGTTGTTGCCTCTTATGAGTCACAGCACCTCATCTGATCCATTGAGCCCCATCAGAAATGATTCCTGAGTGCAAATCCAGGAATAAACCCCGATCACTATCAGATGTATCCAGCTCCCCCACCAAGAAAAAAGAAAACATTGATTTCAGTAAAATGTGATGTTTTCCATTTAATAAAGAAAAATGACTTAATTTCTTCAGCTAGGCCCCTCAAAAATGCAATAAAAATGTAATAGTACAAAAGTTAAGGCTCTTGGCTTCCATCCTACTATCTTAGTCTAAGCCTCAGCACTGTTTATGGTCCCCCAAGTATCAAGAGATATCACTCCTCAGCACAGACAGGAATGGCACCTGATAACCACCAGATGTGAAAAAAAGGGGGAGTGGGCTAAAGACCGGGAGTGGGGGCAGAAAAAAACAGAAGTTAAAGTTATTCTTTTAAGATACGACTATGCAAATTTGGATACAATAATTCCTGTTCACAGAGTAAAAGAGAAAAAAATGGATTTACTGATATATTTAACCTTAAATTTCTGGGATTTATTTAATTTTTTAATTTTATTTTCATAAATTTGTTCACAAGAATTAAGTACGTTCAATTTTTCAGCACCAATCCCATCACCATTACACTTTACCACCACCATTATTTCAAATTTTCCCATGCCCTCCTAAACCTGCCTAAAAGGCAGATGCTAAATAATTTATTTTGTATTGCTTGTTATGAAAACTTCACTGAGAATGATCCCAAAAGGTTTCTTTAGAGGAAAGTGTGTGAAAATTGTTGTATCCCATCTTGGAGTCATTAAGCCCCTGTATCAGAGGTCATTGAGATATTATTAGAGTTTGAACTTTTCTGTGCTTATATATAAATATATAAAAATATATAAATACATATTTATCAAGATCGGTTACCTTCTACCTTACACCCCATCAAATGTGGAGTGCTACTCTTTGTATATCACTGGCATAAAGTATGAGACGTTGCCAGGCTCTGTGCTCCTGGAATTGTAAAATTTTAAAAAGGGTACTAGAGCTGGAGTTAAAATTTTTAACTGGCTGGTGATTCAGGGGCCTGGAGGAATCTGTACGGTGTACCACTCTTTTCAAAGATTCATTTGTGAGTCTCTGAATATGGCCATTCATGTGCTTAAATGGCACATGGAAGTGACTGCCAGGAAACTAGAAGGTACAGGAGACGGGAGGAGGGGCCCATTCCCAGCTCCATGCAAGCCTGGAGTTTTCACACACATGGCCCACATACCTGGGTTTTTCAGCAGATTCATTCTCATGCATGGGGTGCTCAGGATGAGCTCATGAAGGTTGGCCATGAGTGTGGCGGTGATTGGGTTCTGGAGGTTTGTGACTGCTGGGGTTCTTTGGGGGCAGGCGGAAGGATATATATCTGCCCCTGCCTGAGGTGCCTGGATGAAATCAGCCTGGAGAGAGTAGGGAGACATCTTTTCTGAGATTCATTTGTGAGTCAGCTTTCTGTTTTAATTGTGGTTAAATCCTATTTCAGAATCTGAATCCACTTAACCACTATTTAATGGAGGTTAAATCCCATTTAGTCACTGTCACTGTCCTCCCGTTGTTCATCAATTTTCTCGGGTGGGCCCAGTAACATCTCCATTGTGAGACTTTGTTGTTAATGTGTTTGGCATATCAAATATGTCACAGGTAGCTTGTCAGGATTTTCTGTGTGGGCAAGATATTCTTGATAGCTTGCCAGGCTCTCTAAGAGGGGCAGAGGAATCGAACTCAGGTCGGCCAATATAGCAAAAAATTTTTAAAGAAAACAATTGGGGCCAGAGAAATAATTCAAGTTTACTTCCCTTACCTTTCTCATGACTGAACTGGTTTGTCATCATTATTTTGAGGATTTTATTGTTGTTTTGCTCTGGTTTGGAGGCCATATCTTACAGTGCTCATAGGGTTACTCCTGGTTCTGGACGCAGGAGTTACAGCTGGTGAGCTCAGGTAACCATATGGGATGCTGGGAATTGAACCCAGGTAGGCCAGGTGAAAGGCAAACACCCTCCCCACTGTACTATCTCTCCAGACCCACGGTCAACCTGGTTTGATCCCCAGCATCATGCCCAGAGCTTCAGGGAGTGATCCCTAAGCAAAAGCCAGGAGTAAACCCTAAGCACTTCTGGGCATAGCCCGCAAAGCATTAAATAATAAAATAGAAATATTTTATAACACTACATCCATGAATTCAAATTTTTTAATAAAATGGATTATTTTCTAGAAAATATATGTAAACAAAACTAGCTCAAAGGGTTTTAAGACAGGCCGAGAATTCAGAAATAAACTCAAAGGAAAATTTTTAAATATCTATTATAAAGACTATAGGCCAAAACAAGGTGATGATAAAATGTGACAAACAATCATGATTTTCACAAACAATTATGCCTGAGTTAACTAAACTACATGAATGACCAACCTGAGAAAAACCTCCCATCATTTCATTTAATGAATATCTAATACCCATTTTGTTCTTTTCTTTTTTTGGTGGGGTGGGGAGTTATACCCAGCTATGCTCAGGGGTTACTCCTGGCTCTGCAATCAAGGATTACATTTGGCAATGCATGGGGTCCATATTGGATATTGGGGATCAAAAGGAAAGAAACATAAGTACACATAGAATAAATATCAGAAAAGCCAAGACCACTCGATTCATATTCTGGCCCAATAGTAAACGATTTATGCTGAAAATTGAATATACTTAAATATATTGAATATATTTAAACATTTTATTTTATTTTTTTTAATTTATTTGTTTATTTATTTATTTATTTATTTATTGAATCACCGTGGGAAAGGTTACAAAGCTTTCAGGTTTAGGTCTCAGTCATGCAAATATCAAACACATTTCCCTTTACCAATATTTTTTTTACCATGAAGAACCCCAATAAAACCCCACCCCCCACCCCTCCCAGTCCCTGTGGGGCAGATGAATTCTAGTTAACACTCTATCTGCTTTGATTAGATTCATTGTTTCAATAAAAGATTCACCACAATTATTTAGAGTTTACCCCCCCCCCCAAATCAGACAAGCTGAAAAAGCATTGTGACGTGATTTGCTTTCTACAGCTGGGTTCAAGAATTAAATGTTGGTTTTGGATTTCTGCTATTTTACTTATTGACCCTGGAAGTATTTATACTGAAAGTCAGATAGTTAAGAAATTGGTTTCTGTGCTCTGGAGTCGTGGCCGTGCTGGAGAGCCGCTAGTGGGGGGCAACTGGTGGCCTCGGTAGGGCGTGAAGGGCGGACCGAAACGCCCCCCTTCCCATGAGGTTTTAGTCGCCCCCACTCTCCCGGCTCATACCTGCTGTCCACAAGGCTCCCTTGCGGCCGCCATCTTTCTTTCCAGAGAGGAGAAGGCGACTGGGGCAACACCCTTTCCCCTCCGGACAGACATGATGGCCTGGATTAACGCATAGTCCTTTCACTTTTCTGCTCCAAGCTGCCGGGTTCTGCATTAAGTCCCTGTGCTTCTGGGGCTGTGGCCGTGCTGGAGAGCCGCTCGCGGGGGGCAACTGGTGACTTCGGTAGGGCGTGAAGGACGGACCGGAACGCCCCCCTTCCCATGAGGTTTTAGTCGCCCCCACACCCCGGCTCATACCTGCTGTCCACAAGGCTCCCATGTGGCCGCCACCTTTCTTTCCAGAGGGAGGAGGGCGGAAGGGACCAACACCCTTTCCCCTCCGGGCAGACATGATGGCCTGGATTAACGCATAGTCCTTTCACTTTTCTGCTCCAAGCTGCTGGGTTCTGCATTAAGTCCTTGTGCTTCTGGGGCTGTGGACGTGCTGGAGAGCCGCTCGTGGGGGGCAACTGGTGACCTCGGTAGGGCGTGAAGGACGGACCGGAACGCCCCCCTTCCCATGAGGTTTTAGTCGCCCCCACACCCCCGGCTCATGCCTGCTGTCCACAAGGCTCCCATGTGGCCGCCATCTTTCTTTCCAGAGAGGAGAGGGCGAATGGGGCAACACCCTTTCCCCTCCAGCAGATTTGATGGCCTGGATTAACGCATAGTCCTTTCACTTTTCTGCTCCAAGCTGCTGGGTTCTGCATTAAGTCCTTGTGCTTCTGGGGCTGTGGCTGTGCTGGAGAGCCGCTCGTGGGGGGCAACTGGTGGCCTCAGTAGGGCGTGAAGGACGGACCGGAATGCCCCCCGACCCATGAGGTTTTAGTCGCCCCCACACCCCCGGCTCATATCTGCTGTCCACAAGGCTCCCATGTGGCTGCCACCTTTCTTTCCAGAGGGAGGAGGGCGGAAGGGACCAACACCCTTTCCCCTCTGGCAGACTTGATGGCCTGGGTTAACACATAGCCCGTTCACTTTTCTGCTCCAAGCTGCTGGGTTATGCATTAAGTCCTTGTGTTTCTGGGGCTGTGGCCGTGCTCAAAGCTTAACTATGATTTTCAGAGAGAAACGTTAGGTGGTTTACTTCCCATGGATCACTTTGTATATAGAGAGATGTTGCGCGGCCGCATAAGTGGCCGCGCGGTTTGAAGGAAAAGTCCTAGTTCCTGCATACTCGAGCTGTGCTTGTAGAGGTTTCTGGTCACCGGGGTTCCATCTGGGGGAGGCGGGATGCAGTACCTACCCCATCTCGGACTTCCCGATGATCTCGGCTCTTTTTGGAAACTGTTTTTTTTTTTTTCCCTTCGGGATTTGTGGATCCCGCCCTCCATGTGGTTCTTCTCTTCGGCTGAATGCTGTCAAGATGGCTCGGGGGGGGGGGGGGGGGGGGCGGGCTGTGGGCGTGACTTCCGGAATCTGAGGTTACCTGGGAGGTGTAGTCCCGGCATTTTTGAGGAAAAGTCCTAGTTCCCGCATACTCGAGCTGTGCTTGTAGAGGTTTCTGGTCACCGGGGTTCCATCTGGGGGAGGCGGGATGCGGTACCTACCCCATCTCGGACTTCCTGATGATCTCAGCTCTTTTTGGAAACTGTTTTTTTTTTCCCTTCGGGATCTGTGGATCCCGCCCTCCATGTTGTTCTTCTCTTCGGCTGAATACCTATTTAAACATTTTAGATTAGGAAAAAAGTAACATTTGATGTATTATTGCTCAAATGGTCGAATTACTCCTTTGGCCTCAAGGAGACTCGGGTTTGACCCCCAACACTAGATGGTCCCCCTAGCATCACTGGAGTGACTCCTAGACACAGAACCCGAATAACCACTGAGCAGAGAGCAGAAACACCAGATCACCACCAGGTGTGGCCCCAAAGCAAACCACAAAACATAAAATTTAAGTATTAATTTATCTTCCAATTGAAAGAGAAAGTTTACTTGGTCTAAATTTCACTACAGTGAATTTTCAGTTGCACATTGGTCACAAAATATTAAGTGGTGAAAACGTTGATTATATTCTTCACTCAAATATCAATATAATATATATATATACTTCTAGATAGTATAAAATATATATTATGCATGCTAAACATAAGATATAAGTATTTTATACCAGGGTATACTGATGCATTTGGTCTTCTTTTTGTTCCAGGGCAAAAAAGTTCCGTTTACCAATTTTAATCCCACTGTTCTTCTTCCTTCGTCTTTGGATTACTGGACCTACTTTGGCTCTCTGACTTCTCCTCCCCTTTATGAAAGTGTAACCTGGATAATCTACAAAATGCCCATTACTATCAGCTCATGTCAGGTATATTATCAAAAACCAATGAGTAAAATTTGAAAGTGTAAAGCAGTATCACTTCAAATCATAGTATTTATAAGGGAATTCTCACTTTCATTTAAATTTTTTGAGGTGTCCATTTTCCTCTACACCTGAAAGCATTTATTTTGGATATATCCACTAAATGTAAAAAGTATATTATATTGTTCTTTAACTTTATGCAGAAAATATATGAGCTACATTAAGTGCTTTTTTATGACTATTAAATGTATTCTGAAAAAAATAAATAAATGTATTCTGAAACATTTCAAAAACAAAAATTTGTTTGAAATTGTCCTACTAAGACAAGAGAAATTGTGACCCTTAACTTATATGCTTTGATAACTGACAAAGGTTTTGTGTTCCTTTTTGGGTTTAAGTTTTTAAATATCCAATAAAATATTTAGCTTATTATTTTTTATAATAAGATGAAAAAAATTATCACAGATTGAAATTTTATTAGACTTTTGCATTTGCTTTGTCAATTAATTCTCAGAACTAACCTAAAGGAAGGCATTGTAACCAACCCTAGTGATCACAGACATTTATTGACCAATTTATATGCCAAGTTCCATTTTAAGAACCTTATGGAAACTGAGGCATGAATCAGATAAATTACTCACCCATGCTACTCAATTTGAAAGAAAGACAAAGTTCTAATAGACTCAATCATTAAGAATGTAAACTAAATACTTAGTTTGAGGAAACTGAAAGGGGTCGGAGAGAGGGTACATGAGGTAGTGTGCTTACCTTGTGCATGACCGACCCAGTTACAATCCCTGACATGTTGTTTGGACCCCCTAAGCACTTCCAGGATTAATTCCTGAGAACAAAGATAGGGGTAAGCCCTGAGCACCACCAGGTATCGCCAGAAAAAAAAAAAATCAATCTATTTTTTGGCTTCCTTTTTTTTCCCATTCGTGAGTCTATTCCAAACTTTGACTTTATAGTTTTCTATTGGCTCGTCAATTATACTGGATACTATAGATTGTGTTAGATTTATATTCTTCGGGTGTTTAAGATTTTCATTGCTTTCGTCAGCTTGCACAGTTCCGTTGTCTTCTCTCAAATATTGCATGTGAAACTGAGATCCCTATTGAGAACAACTGCAGACCACCACAACCTCTGAAGGGAAGAAAAGTAAGGAGCTTCACTCTGGATGATCCAGGAACTACAGTAAACTCACCCCGTCAAGTGCCCAACTCTGCTCGTTATTAATCTAATGAAGTAGTTTGTAAGAAACAGTAATAAAAGCCTAGCAAGTTACCAGAATTGCAAGTTTAATTACTATAACGACAAAAAGGGTTCATACTTATTTTTATTGCTTAGCCTAAACAGCAACCTGTAATCTTGCAAATGTTGTGTATACATTCAAGTTTCTTTGAGCAATTTTTTTTATCTGCAATAAAAGTGTACACTTTAATCATCATGATTAATATAGGCTCAAAATAAACGCTGGCGATGTGATGACGGTGATCAGACAAACAATAGATTTTAAAGTACCGGACAGCCGTATTTATAATAGATGAAAGAGAACTTCAAATGCTCAAGAGAAATAAGAGATAGCCATGACCATTTTATAATAATCAAAGGAAATATACATCAAGAAGACTTACACTCACCAACATATACCCACCAATTAGGGGACCATCAATATATGTAAAGGAATTATTATCCATTCTTAAGGAAAATATCAACATTAACACAACAGTAGTAACAGATTTCAGAACCTTCCTCTCACCACTAGAGCCACCAATAAGATAGAAAATCAATGAAGAAACAGAGTCACTCACTCCAGAAAGAAAGGGAAAAGTTGGGCTTAATAGACATTTTTAGGGATCTCCATTCCTCCAAAAATGCCTACACATTCTTTTTCACAAGCACCTTATTAGGATAGACTAAATGCTGAGGCTGATTACAAATCAGCCCTAATCAGCCCTACGTAATATTAAGAAAATAGAAAGCAGATCAAGTATGCTCTCAGATCACCATGTTTTTATTATAAAATTAACCACAAACAGAAAACTAGGAAATATTCAAACACCTGAAAGCTGAAATGCACACAATTAAACAATCACTGGGCCAACCCGTGATTGCTCGAGCGGGCCCAGTAATGTCTCCATTGGAGACTTTGTTGTTACTGTGTCTGGCATATCGACTACGTCACGGGGAGCTTGCCAGGCTCTGCCGTGCGGGTGAGATACTCTCGGTAGCTTGCCGGACTGGGCCAACCCGTGATAAAAGAACAAATTAAAAATATTCCTCGATGCAAGCAAGAATGAAGACACAAACTATCAAAACTTACAGGACACAGCAAAAGCAAAAGTGACTCAAGGCAAGTTTATAGGACTATGTGCTTTCATCAGAAAAGAGTAAGAGGTGCAAATAATTTACCTAACTTCACCCCTCAAGAAACTAGAAAAGGTGCAACCAAAATAGAAGTAGTAGGAGTGAAACAATAAAAATCTGGGCACAAAGTTAATTTCATAGAAATAAAAAACATAAAAAATCATTAAAACCAATAGTTTTATGAAAAAATCAGCAAAATTAATAGTCCTAGTAGGCATACAACATTTTAAATAAGATTTTAAATAAGAGAGAGAAAATATTGATAAATAAGAAATAAAAGGGAAGAGATTACAATAAAAATCTCAGAAATATAAAAGATATTATAAAATTACTATGAATAATCTTATGCCTCTAATTTGGAAAATCTTGAAGAAATCAATAAATTTCTAGAGTTCTACATCCTATAGGAAACCTGAACAGACATATTAATATCAAGGAAGCTGATAAGGAGAAATAAATCTCCCCAAAAGCAAAAACCAGGTCCAGATGTATTCATGAGTTAATTCTTCCAAGTCTTTAAAGAGGACCAATACTTCTTTTCCAGAAATAGGAAAGAACAGGGGTAGTTACAGATAAGTTTTTGTGAGACTAACATCACCTTGTTAACTCAAAGCTGACAGAGATATCATAAGAAAATTTCGGAGAAATATCCCCAATGAAAATAAATGCAAATATACTCAATAAAATTCTGGTGAATCAAATAAGATACACTAAATGTTTTATACACCATATTCAGCTGGCATTTATTCCAAAGATGTGATGATGGCTCCGAATTTGCAAATAAATTTTTATACACCAAATTAAAAAGGGAAATATAAACCATATACTCATATCTATAGATGCAGAGAAAGCTTTAGACAAGATTGAGCACTTATTCATGATAACTCTTATAAAAATCATAAAGATCTCTCAAAACATAGAGATTGGAGAAGCATATAATATTGCTATATAGCACAGGCAACATCATTCTTATAGGTGAAAACTCTTTCCCCTAAAATCAAGTACAAGAGAAAGATGTTCACTGTCACCTCTCTTATTCAACCTAGCAAAGAAAATTTCAGTTTGTAGTTAGACAAGAAAGAGACATTAAGAAATTCAGAGTAGTCAAGTCAAACTATCAATATTCACAAATCACATAATATCATACATAGAAAACTCTAAATGATTCCATTTAAAAAAAACTATAATCCTACACAGTAAAGTAATAGGTTGCAAAATAGATGCATAGAATTTTGTCGCATTCCTATAGCAAACAATAATGTTAAAGAGAAAGAAAAAAGAGTTCAAAATTCCCCATTGAAGACATTTTTTGGGGGGGTGGGACATTCAAGTATCTTAGAATCAAAGTAAAAAAGGGAGAAGAAAATCCTATTGTGAAAATTAAAAATTATTTCTGAAAAAATAACACACAAGGGTAAAAAGCACATTACTTGCTCATGGATCGGAAGAATCAAAATAAATGACCATATCACCCTAAGTAATTGATAGGTTCAGTGTGACCCCCCATCAAAATTCCTCTGGCATTCTTTTAGGGCATAGAAAACAATACTTTTAAAATTTGTACAGATAATAAAACTGCCCAAATGGCCAAAATAATTCTGAGCAAAAAAGATGGGATGCATTCCCAGACTTTACTATTACTAGAAAGCTACAGTGATCAAAACCACATGGTACTTGGACAAAGATGAACTACTAGATCAATGGGATAAAACTGAGAGCCCAGCTGTAAACCCTCAAATGTATGAGCAATAAAATTCCAACAAAGAAGTTAGGTTTGCGAAGTGGAACAAGGAAAGCAGCTTCAATAAACGGCGCTGGAAAAACTGGTTAGCAAAACACAAAATAATAAATTAAACCCATATTGAACCCTGGTCAGTCACACATTAGGCAAGCGCTCTACCTGCTGTACTAACTCTCCAGTCCTGAAGAACTTTAAGAATATTTAAAACGGATCTACTTTATCATCAGCAATTCCGTTCTAGGTTATTTTTCCAAAGTATACAAGATCTTTTAATCTGAAAAAAGATGTGTGCATAGCTAGATTTATTATAATGCTGGTAACTGTAGCTAAGATATGGAAACAATCCAAATGCCCAATGAAAGTCAGATGAATAAAGAAAATGTGGTATATACACACATTATGACATACTGCTCAGCCAAAAAGAAAAGTGAAATCTTGCCTTTCAAGACAATGAGGAGGAAATAGAGAGGAGCACATTAAGTGAAATAATTTAGAATAAGAAATACAAATGGGGAAAAGAAAGATGGCAGCCGCAGGGGAGCCTTGTGGACAGCAGGTATAAGCCGGGGGTGAGGGGGACTAAAACCTCATGGGAAGGGGGGCATTCCGGCCCATCCTTCACACCCTACTGAGGTCACCAGTTGCTGCCCACGAGTGGCTCTCCGGCACAGCCATGACTCCAGAGCACAGAAACCAATCTCTTAATTATCTGACTCTCAGTAGAAATACTTCCAGGGTTAATAAGTAAAATAGCAGAAATCCAAAACTGCGCGGCTGCTATTGCGGCCGTGCGACATCATTTAATACTTGAACCCAGCTGTAGAAAGCAAATCATTTCACAATGCTTTTTCAGCATGTCTGATTTTTTTTGGGGGGGGGGGTAAACTCTAAATAATAATGGTGCAACTTTTATGGAAACAATGAAGCTAGTCAAAGTAGATAGAGTGTTAACTAGAATTCATCTGCCTCACAGGCATTGGGGGGGGGGTGTTGGGGGAAGTTATTGGGGTTCTTCGTGGTGAAAAATAAGTATTGGTAAAGGGAAATGTGATTGATATTTGCATGACCGAGACCTAAACCTGAAAGCTTTGTAACTTTTCCCACAGCGATTCAATAAATAAATAAATTATAAAAAAAAAAAGAAATACAAATGGATAATGATCTTGCATAGGTGGAATGTGGAGAAGCCAAAGAAAGAAAAACAAGATCACTGGAAACCAAATCACAGAGCTGTGGTTACTAGAGGTGGAGAAAGAAGAAAAGATGGAAGGGAGAAAGGGGTCTGGCGGATAATAGCTGAAAATATTATTATTTTGATGAGTGTATAGTGTGGTTATATCATTTGGAGAGGCATAAAATTATACCTGTAAAACACAGACAGTCATGAAAATTAATTTTACCTCAGTTGAAAATAGAAAAGTTCTCAAAAATCATTGTAACAACCAAAAAATGGGAGAGGCAGATAATTTCATATGAATTTAATTTAATTGAGAAATATAACTATAAAAGATGACCGCGACTTACAATGATTGAAAATATTTCCTAAAAAGTCACTGAGCAAATTTTAAAATCAGTTTCACAGAAAGGACATGAAATAATTTTTATTTAATTGCCATATAATTTTACAAAGATGAATATGGATGCAAAGATGTAATTACAATTCTAGGAAAAAGACAAAGAAGTGGCAAGAAGACATATGATGGTGATCAAGTTTTATCCCTAAGCTGAATGCCACAGGAGAGCATTTCATATATTTGGCAGACTCACAAAAGGCATTCTGGGAACTTTCGCTGTTTCTCTGAAGTAGCCGATTAAAACAGCTGCTAATAGGTTGTCAAAGCATTGGATTATTTGAGAACTCAACTCATAGTTTCCTTTGACTCTCCCTCCTACTCTGCAACACGCTCCCTGCTGACTAAGATGGTAGACTTGAACATCCTCCAAGGAGTCAATGTTGATTTTTTTTTTTTATGATGCTCAATAGCTACCCGTGAGGTTTGCCAAACACAGTAACAACAAGTCTCACAATGGAGACGTTACTGGGCCCACTCGAGCAAATCAATGAACAACAGAAGGACAGTGCTACAGTGCTACAGTAACTAGCCTACTTTATGCCAAATCTATTGAG